TTCTTAATCCAAAAAAAGGCAGGAAAAGAAGAAAAAAAGAAAAAAAGAGATGAGACAAGTAATAGCAAAATGGTGGATTCAAACCCAACTATATTGATAATTTCATCAAATGTAAATGGCTTAAACACACAAATTAAAAGGCAGAGATTATCACTTAGATGTTTAAAAATCAACACCCAATGACATACTAACTACAGAAAACCACTTTAAATATAAAGACACAGATAGGTCAAAAATAAAAGATTGGAAAAAGATATGCTGTGCAAACATCAATTAAAAAAAACCTGGAGTGGCTATATTAATATCAGACAAGTAGAAATAGCACCAGGAGAAAAAAATGACATTAGATAATGATAAAGGAGTCAATTCATCTAGAAGACAAAATACTACAAATGTTACACACCTAGTAACAGAGTTCCAGTAACAAGCAAAAACTGATAGGATGTGAAAAAAAAGTTGCAATCATAGTTGGAGATTTCAAAACTCTTCTCTCAGTAACAGATGAGTAAAAATTAGTATTTGAATGGTTTCAGATCAAACAGCAAGTAAACATAACTCATTTAACCTCTTAATTTACAAAACTTGTCGCAAATTGTTAAAACTTAGAAGAGGAAGGAAACAGTTTAGATGTGATACAATACTGAGAAAACAATATTTTAGGTTGAAACTGTGAATTGCTGTCAGAAATAAGTGCAGCTATTACAGTTGTAGGTACTTCTGACCACAGTGCCCATAGGTGGGCAATGTAAATCTTTTTTTTTGTTGCCTGGTTGGAGTGCAGTGGCACGATCTCGGCTCACTGCAACCTCCGCCTCCCAGGTTCAAGCGATTCTCCTGCCTCAGCCTCCCCAGTAGCTGGGACTAAAGGTGTGCACCACCATACCCAGCTAATTTTTGTACTTTAAGTAGAGACAGGGTTTCACTATGTTGGCAAGGATGGTCTCGATCTCCTGACCTCGTGATATGCCTCAGCCTCCCAAAGTGCTGGGATTACAGGCATAAGCCACTGCGCCTGGCCGGCAATGTAAATCTTAACTAAAGGCATGAGCTAGGCTTCTGGGAAATGTAAGCCACGATGGCTATCACAGAAACAGTCTCTTAATTTGGTGTATTATATCTCTCTCTCACAGTCCCCTAAACATTTAGTAATAATGGGATCTATTACTATTTAAAAGAACACATAGAATAAATTTTTGAAAATAATTACTTTTAAATAGTGAAATTTGAGTGTCTATGTGAGTATATTTAAAATGAAACTAAACTTAAAAAGGAAATTCCTGGTTAGATACCATTTCCAAGCATACAAACTCAGCACAGGAAGCAATATTCTCTGCAAAAAGTTGAATATATGGTAACTGAAATTATAAAATACCATCATGAGAAACAAGATACATTATCCTTTCCCATATCCATGGGCTTCCTGGAACCTAATTTGAGAAAACCTAGAAATGAAGGAGGGGGTATAGCTCAGAAGTAGAGCATTGGACGGCAGATCAAGAGAAAACCTAGAAATGAACACAGTAAAAAATTAACAGAATCTTAAAATGGAAACGTTATTTTCCAAAATGGTATATATATATATTTTTTATCCAAACAGCTTAATTACCCTCTTAATCCCTATCTTGGGAGAAAAGTTTTTCCAGTCTGGAAGGGAGCCTACTGCCATTTGAATATCTGCAATATGTCTGCATTTTGAATATACTGTCTCAAATAATCCTCATGAAAAATCCTAATGAAGAATAGGTTTACTTATTCCCAAGTCATATTTCTTCTTAGGTTTGTTTCCTTATTGGAAAAATAAGAAAAGTGGACTAAATGATTTCCAAATTTCCCTCCAGCTTTAATAATCCATGATTCTACATAAAATATTCTGGTGTCTGTTCCTGAGAAGCTTATAATTTGGTTAGTGAGTTAAAGATAACAACATGATGATTTCAGGCACTAGCAAAACATTCAAATAACCTTAACTAAGCAAAAACTATCAATATAACTTGAGTAGTGAATAGCTCTGAGAATTGTTGGAGATTAAGGGAGAGAAGGAGAAAGTGGAGGGAAGGAAGGAGGGTGGGGAGAAAGAAGGGAGACATACAGCAGACATTTTTATTCACCAAGACAAAGCTTATAGCTAATGCAAAAGTAATAACTTAGTTCCACTCGTCACTCTAGGAAAACTGAGGAACTATGAAGACATAAAGATACACACCTAGAATGAGGGACCCAAACGCCCAAGCTTGCTTTCTGCTCTCCAAATCTATTGGAATTGCTCCCACTCAAGTTGTTCTAAGGGTGAAACCAGTTTTGCTTTAAAAATCTAATGTTTCTGCAAATCACTCATAATGACCCACATTCAAAATAAACCATGAATTAATTACATTTATATAATGTTTTTCATGTGGAGGATCAATTATTCTTTCTGTACCAGTGTCACCTTCTATTTGTGTCATGTATAGTTTACAAAGTTCTTTCACACCTGTGATCTTATGTGATCCCTGCTAAACCTCTGTAAGATAAATAGTTCAGCTGATATCCCAATTTTACATACAAAGCAGACATCTCGGAAAGACAGAATGCCTCGCCAAGGTCACACAGATGGTAGTCTGACTTGGAACTACAGTATTTAGGCTTTTTATTCATTGTACCATCTTTCAGCCTGTTTGCCTACTTTTCTGTCCTTGTCACTATCCTTGTTCTTCAAAACACTTAAACAGGTTCTATGAAGATATAGTAAGGATTTGTTACACTATACTTCTATAAAGTACTAATTTTGGAGCATTGAGCCAGAAGGAAATGGATGACTAGAAATACAGCTGAATATGCATGGAACATACCATAACATTTTATATCTCAGGTTATTAAATATTGGCAGAATTTGCATTGAGTTAGAATGTGGGTCATTATGAGTGATTCAGAGTGGGAAGCTCCTCTGTGGGCAGGTCGTCCTGAGAGCACAAGGAAGCGCAGGTCCATAGCTGTGGCTTGGGTGGCTGCAGCAGCACCCAGGGAGCTCCCACCTCAACTGAGAAGGGATGACCAACCTTAGAGAGAAGCAACCCACTCCAGGGCCTCCTCTCTGCTGAGAGCTGGGAAGACGATGGGATGTAGAGGGGAATAACCCACTCAGGGCCTCCTCTCTGCTGAGAGAGCTGCAGAGATAATAGGACGACCTGCCTGCAGAAAGGCGCTTCCCATTCCAGAGTCTCCTTTCTGCTAGGAGCTGAACACTCATCAGGACACCCTGGCTGCGGAAAGGAGCTGCCCGCTGTGGGAGACTGAGCTATTCTATCACTCAATAAAGCTCCTCTTCATCTCGCTCACCCTCCACTTATCTGTGTACCCCATTCTTCCTGGTTGCAGGCCATGAACTCAGGACCCACAGAATGGCAAGGCTAAAACATCCGTAACATAAACAGGGTTGAGACATGCCCCTTGCTCGCCATGTTGTGGGCAAAGAGAAGGAAAGAAGAGCCGAAGCCCTTCGGGGAGTCCAGACGTGGGAGCTCCCCGAGCCAGGGCTGTGACTCCCTCTTTGAGGCCCTGTGGCTCCTGGCATCTCCAAGCTCCCAGGCACCACCATGTTCCCCAGTGCCAGCTGTGGAAACTGCTTGCAGCGTGACTGGTCCGGCTGCAGCCTTGCAGAGAGCTGGCAATCATGCTGGCACCTGGAGCTGTCTGCCCCGCTGCAGCAGGTGGCATATCTGACTGTGTGCAGTGGCCAGACCCCATGCTTGCTCACACACCCATCACCATTCCATGCCCGACTTGCCCTTGGCTGGCATGAGACCCAGGCCAGTAGCGTGAGCCAAGCACAGTCTGCCAAGTGGAGTGGGTGAAATAAGCCTAGTGCAAAACTCAGGCAAAGATGCCACTGGCCACAAAGGTTTCCAGCCAGAAAAACGGCACCCCAAAGATCCTGCAACAATATGACATCCTTCCTATTGCCTTTGACATTATAGCATAACTACAAAGAGAATTATTTTACAAAATATTCAGGGGCTCTATCAGCTTTGCCAGGAGTATTCTTAATCCTTTGACATTCGAATTTTCCCTTTGGAAGCACTATCGTGCCATCCTCATTATTGATTTTCTCTTTTTCAATTTTAAATTATCTAATTCTGTCAGCTCTGTGTTTGTCAACCGATTTGCTAGCAATTCTCCTGCATTAATTTCAAAGATAACATGAAATGCTGAAACTTCCATAAAATTTGCAATTTCACTTTATGTCTGCATTATATTAACACTGACAGGCTGGAAAGGGGTAAACCTCAACATTAAGTTGAACATCAAAGGATATCTGAAAAGAGGTTATCTTGCATCAAAGTCAGGCCACTATTAAACAGCACTCAACAAATGACTCTTACACCGCCAACAATGTCAGGCTCATGAAGTTCTATGAAAATAATTCCTTAAATAGGTGAATGGAGGAAAATATTTAACATTTAGTACACCAAAAAAAACTTCTGATGAGAACCAAGGGGAAATAACCTTTGAGTACCACCAATAGTGACACAAACTCATAATCAAAGGACAGAAACCCTTCCATTGGAGACATCTGAAAACAGATCTAGAAAAAGATAAACTAACGTAAGTGAAGAACTTAAAATAGTACCTTTAGAAACATGACAATAACTTTCTTCTCTTTCCTCCACAGCAATATAGTGTGCAAATAACAACAACAAAACACATCTTTTATTTAAAAAAAAAATTGAAATTACCTGAAGGTCTCTAGATAAAAGTTCTCAAGTTTAGTCTCAACAATATACCTATCTGCCATGCACACACATCACATTACAGCTATATTTTGAGGATAACCTAAAGGATTAGAGGAATCCACATAAGCAAAATAAAAAATAAAAACTCTACTCTTCATTAAATTATGACTTATGTTCCATATTCGGATAGAACACAGAACAACAAATAACAAGTCAAGCAAGAAATAGAAATTATCATATCACTCTTTTGTCTTTATCACAGACTAGAAAGTCAAAAAGGAAATAACTTACCTCTATACCAAAGATTCCTCTGTCACGCCCATACAATTTCATCTGTTCTGGAAAATGCTGAAAAGCATTTATGTAAGGAATATGGTCTTCTTCAACAAATCTGTATTTTTAAAAAGAAAAAGGTTTAACGAGAGCTACATACTGATATAGCAAAGTAAATGCTTTAAGAAAATCTCTTAAAATTCACAGACATGGTAAGAATTAGTTAAGCATATTCTATTTCCCACGTTTTTAAGGATAATAAATCTGATCATATCTATTATTCTCTTTACCCATATGTTGGCCTATTCAGCCAATTACTGAATGATTCTCTTAAGTTCCTGACTAAATAAATATGTCTAAGAAGGACTGGGCACAGTGGCACATGCTTCTACCCCCAGCTATTTGGGAGGGGTAGCAGTAAGACTGCTTGAGCCCTGGAGTTTGAGGCTACAGTGAGCCATGATCACACCACCGCACTCCAGCCTGGGCAAGAGTGAGATCCTGTGTTAAAAATTTAAAAAAAAGGGCCGGGCGCGGTGGCTCAAGCCTGTAATCCCAGCACTTTGGGAGGCCGAGACGGGCGGATCATGACGTCAGGAGATCGAGACCATCCTGGCTAACCCAGTGAAACCCCGTCTCTACTAAAAAATAACAAAAAATTAGCCGGGTGAGGTGGCGGGCGTCTGTAGTCCCAGCTACTCGGGAGGCTGAGGCAGGAGAATGGCTTAAACCCGGGAGGCGGAGATTGCAGTGAGCTGAGGTCGGGCCACAGCACTCCAGCCTGGGTGATAGAGCGAGACTCCGTCTCAAAAAAAAAAAAAATTAAAAAAAAAAAGTGTCCGGCCAGGCGCAGTGGCTCATGCCTGTAATCCCAGCACTTTGGGAGGCCAAGGCAGGTGGATCACAAAGTCAGGAGTTCAAGACCAGCCTGGCCAATATGGTGAAACCTCGTCTCTATTAAAAATACAAAAATTAGCTAGGTGTGGTGGCGTATGCCTGTAGTCCCAGCTACTCCGGAGGCTGAGGCAGAAGAATCGCTTGAAACCGGGAGGCGGAGGTTGCAGTGAGCTAAGATAACACTACTGGACTCCAGCCTGGGTGACAGAGCGAGACTCAGTCTCAAAATAAAAAAAGTGTGCAAGAAGTGTGTATCCTACTTGTTAGTTCACCACCAGGCTTTCCAACATGGCATTCCGTGTATCCCTAGCTCCCCTCACATGACAGGCTCCTACTCATAAATCACTCCTGCAAGGAGGTTTACCTTGATCCCCATTTTCTGTGAAAGCCTACCTCCCTTGTCTACCCTTCTGTCTCCAATACCTACAATAGTGCATGTTAGATGTTTGTTGCTGAAAGAACCATTAAGGGTAGGGACCTTGCCTGTTTGCTCACCACTCCACCCCAATGCCTGGTACACAGTGGATCAAATATTTTGAGTCGATTATTGAGTTTGAAGAAAATAACACATATACATAAATACACAAATATATTTATTTACAATTCATTAATTTAACAACAATTTATTGAATACTATATATCCAGTACTATTCTAGACTGCAGAGAAATGGCAGTGAACAAAACAGAAAAACATTCTTGTTCCTATGGAGTTTACATTCTAGTGAGAAAAGAAAGATACAAAACAGATAAGTAAAATCTATAGTATGTTAGGTAGAGTGAAATGTTAAGGAGAAAAACAAGGAGAACTGAGAATGAGAAATGGGGGTCTTGCGACCATGTCAAATATATACATATATCTATATACAAGATATTTAAAATAAGAAAATTAAGGAAAGTGAGCTAAAGACAGGAATAAGTATACAAACTGCATTGCCTTGAGGACTTTGCTGTTGCTAGAGCTGGGCTGACATTTGGCTTTCAGCTTTGTAGCACTTAAAGGATAAAACTGACTCAACTTTTTTTTTTTTTTTTTTTAAGACGGAGTCTCACTCTGTCGCCCAGGCTGGAATGCGGTGGCATGATCTCAGCTCACTGCAGCCTCCACCTCCCGGGTTCAAGTGATTTTCCTGCCTCATCCTCTCGATTAGCTAGAATTAGTTATAGGCACCCACCACCATGCCTGGCTAATTTTTGTATTTTTAGTAGAGACATGGTTTCACCAGGTTGGTGATCTGCCTGATAAGCCTCCCATAGTGCTGGAATTACAGAAGTGGGCCACCAGTCCCAGCCTCAACTTTAATTTCAAATTAAAAATGTGCTTTAATTTTTAGTCTACTGAAAGTTGAGAATTAAATATTTATATAAAAATGGTGTTAAAGCTTCCCCAGGTAAGTTTTTATTAGTATATTCAGTTTATATAAAAGTATTTATGTGCAGTAATCAGTATTTGTATTATTTTGCAATTATATTTTTGGTTTAATATCATTTTATATACAAGATGTAATGTGTACCTGTCACTTTTTAAACTACCTAGTACTCTACTATGTTAATGTGCTCATTATTTATGTAGTCTTCACTATGTGATAACACATGCCAGGACTGTGTGGAGTGTTAGGAGTCTGCAGAGAGAAGTAAGAGATGAAGGGTCCTCCGCACTCCCACCCTAATAGGTCGGACAAACAGCCTGCACATGAGTCAGCAGAGGTACTGTCTCAAGCAGCACAACAGAGGAACAGTCAGATCCATAGGAGCAGAAGAAATGAGACCTGCCTAGGGGAAGCAGAAATGTCCACAAAGAGCAGGTCTTTGGCATCTGGAGTTCTAACAGTTTTTTTCACCATTTATAAACAGTTCTGCCCTTAGCCTCATTCAAAGTTTTTTTTCTTTTTAACTTTGAATTTCCTTTTAGAAAAGTATTTATTTCCCTCCCCCCCAAACAAAAACAAAAACAAAAACAAAACAAAAAAAAGCTGCTTACTCAAAGTTCTGAACAATCTATTTCCCTTCCTAGGTGTTAACAACTGGTTCTCTAGATCAGTCCAGGAAGTTGATAGAAAAATTGGCATAGACTAAAAGCATCTCATATGCCTCTCCTGACGAACAGACTTTAGCCCTGTCCCCTGGAAACACTGTCCTTACTTATAATTATGTAATTTTCCCAAGTTTCAACCTATGAAGGGTTAGAAATTTAATAAACTCATTCTTCATCTAAGATCACTGAAAAAGCACTGAATTAGAGTTAAGTCGTGTCTACCTGTAAAACAGATCCTGAACCCAGTCACCATTATCACTGCCATAATCCAAGTTACCATCTCTTGCCTGGAGGATAGCAAAAGACCACCTGGTCTCCATGCTTCCACTCTTCCCTTCCTAGTACTCATTTTCCACAGCTGCCTGAATGATCTTTAAAAAACATCAATCGGATTGTATCTCTCCTGCTGCAACCTTCCAGGGGCTTACTCTCACACTTAAAACCCGGAGTCCACCTGGTTATGAGGTTTCCTTCCGGAGTGATGTGTCCTGAAAACAGCAGACTGCACAGCTTTGTAAACTTTGAAAACGCATTGAAAACCACTGAATTGTGTGTGTGTGTGTGTGTGTGTGTATATATATATATATTTTTTTTTTTTTTGAGATGGAGTCTCGCTCTGTTGCCCAGGCTGGAGTGCAGTGGCGCGATCCACTCACTGCAAGCTTCGCCTCCTGGGTTCACGCCATTCTCCTGCCTCAGCCTCCCGAGAAGCTGGGACTACAGGCGCCCGCCACCACGCCCGGCTAATTTTTTTTTTGTATTTTTAGTAGAGATGGGGTTTCACCGTGTTTGCCAGGATGGTCTCGATCTCCTGACCTCGTGATCCGCCCGCCTCGGCCTCCGAAAGTGCTGGGATTACAGGCGTGAGCCACCGTGCCCGGCCTGAACTGTATATTGTTAAACAGTGAATTTTATTATATATAAATGATGCCTCAATTTTTAAAAATCTAAATTCCTAACTTGTTTTACAAAGACAGATATCTGCCCCTGATGATCTGTTCACTCTCATCCTCCTACTCTGCCTTATAATTCTGACTCCAGTCACACTAGCTCTCCTCTGCTCCTTCATCACACAGCTCTTGCTTTAGGGCTTGGCAAAAGCAACCTCCCTCTACCTGGAATGCCAGTACAGCAGTCCCCACTCATCCTCTTTTTTGTGCTGCCTGGTTTCCTAAGTGTTAAACTGTACGCCATTCTAAAGAGCATGATGAAATATCACGCCATCTCTCTCTGACCCGTGTGAGACGCGAATCTTCTCTTTGTTCAGCACAGCCAAGCTGTAGGCGCCACCCAGCCATGAGTTACTCGTAGTTTGTTGGCTCATTCTCAGATCTACTGTCAGAGTGTTGCAGTGCTTGTGTTCAAGTACCCCTTATATTTTACTTAATAACAGACTCAAAGCTCAAGAGTAGGAGTACCAGTACACCGTAATAATTATTCTATTTTATTATTAATCTCTTACTATGCCTAACTTACAAATTAAACTTTATCACAGGAATGTATGCACAGGAAAAAACACAGTGTATATAGGGTTCCGTGCTATCTACATTCTCAGGCATCCAATGTCTTGGAATATATCCTCTGTGGTAAGTGAGGTCTATCGTACTCTTGATATTCACACTGGCTCTATTTTCATTTAAGGTGCAGAGTAAATGCCACCTTCTTGGTGAGGCCTTCCCAAATGACCAATCTAGAGTAGCCATCTAGTCATTTTCTATCATACCATCCTATTTCAATTTCCTGAATAGCCTTTCCCTGTCTGATCCTTTTCTTACTTATCAGGTTGATGCAAAAGTAATTGTGGTTTTTGCCATTAACCTCAATGATCTTTGCACCAACCATACTTATGTGTTTGTTTATCTGTGTCCTCCTCTGGTCTTGAAATTCATGAGAGCAAGGACTGGACCTACATGATTCACAACTGTATCACAAGGGTCTAGATGCCAGAAAACCACCTGCATATAGTAGATATTCAACACAAATTCACAGAATGAATAAATGCTGGCTATTTTTATTTATTAATGCCATTATTGCTAGGTAGGCAGGGTCCTTTACAGGCTATTTGCAGGGTAATGAATTTATGCTAAGGACTATGGATGCTGCTAGAGTACTTAAAAAAGGAGTGACAAGCACAGTGTTAAGGTATGTGGGTATTTTGGCCAGGCTAATAATGTACTCCCTTAAAACCAGTGTTCTTTAAATATTTTTTCAAAGTTTGGCAGTGGTTCTTAAACTTTACCATCCATAAGAATCCCCTGGGCCAGGCACGGTGGCTCACGCCACAATCCCAACATTTTGGGAGGCCAAGGTAGGAGGCTTGCTTGAGGCCAGAAGTTCGAGACCAACTTGGGCAACATCACAAAACCCCATCTCTACAAAAAAATAAAAATAAACAATTAAAAAAAAATCCTCTGAAGGGCTTATTTTAAAGCAGAGATTACCAGGTCCTACCCCAGGGTTCCTGATTCAGAAGGTGTAGGATAGGTCTAAGAATTCACATTTCTAACCAGTTCCCAGATGATACTGAAGCTGTAAGTCAGAAGGCCACATTTTGAGACCTTATGACTTAGAGCTCTTTCTGGGAGAAAAGCAAAGAAAGAATATGGTGACAGTCTCTTCTCCTATTGCCCCAAGCAACTAAGCTCTGTTCCCAAACTTGTATATTCCACAGGGCAAAACAAAAGCCCTCAAGCTAACTAGATTTAATCTCCTTGAAGGCATTTCAGAATTCCCCCTGGTGAGGGAGGAGATGGAAAGAGAGAGAGAAGAGAAAAGAGGGAGGGAGAGAAGACGGGTGGGTAGCATCTTACCCCTATTCTTTCAACCACATATAATATTCTCCCTGAGAAGAATTCCAGGTAAATATGACTTTCTCCATCTTGTTAGATTTCTAGGAGAGTTCTGTTAGCCCCTTACAGATTGTCCTGGGTAGGATGGCTAGCCCCTTTATCCAGCTCTAATGACATCATTAGATTTATGTTTTTGTAAGATCCTTCTGGTTATCAGGAGGAAAATGGATAGAAATGACACAAGATTACAGACACAGAGCTCAGCTGGCAGACTGTTAAGCAATCCAAATGAGGGTAGAGAGGACAGAGAGAGAGGGAATGCAGAGAAGAATGGTTTTTTGAGTTTTTGGACGTATAATTGAGTGGACATAAAGACCAACAGTGTACATAGAAGGGAAAGAGTCAAGGATGATCCCTAGGCTTCTGGATAGGATGCAACAGGGTGGATGGCATTTACTAAGAAAGAGAACACTGGAGAAGGAGCTGGATCAAGGAGACAGATGATGAACCTCTAGTCATGCTGATTCTGAGATACCATAAAGACATCTAAGTAGCCATGTCCAGCAGGCAGATGTATATATGAATCTACGGGTCTGGCCCTCAGTAGACAAGTCTGGGCTAGAGATATAAATTTGAGAGTCATCAGCATATAGTGGTAATTAAAGCCTTGGGAAAAGATGAGATCACCCAATGGGGGCATACAAAGCAAGACCAGGTTTTTAAATTAATAGTAAAATTCACTGAATCATGGGCTATCTGCTTGCAGAGTTAATCAGACCTGAGGAAAGCATTTTTATTTGGTTGATGTGGCCAAATTCAAAGGCACTATCATCATTTACTGGAGGCATTATATTTAATCAAAGGGGTTGTGCCAATAATCATGATGATGGTGATGATGATGAAAACAAAAACAATAATGACTAGCATTGAGCTCTTATTATGTGCCAGACACTGCTCTAAGTGCTTTCCATGTAGCACTAATTATTGAAAGTAGTTACAACCCTATGAGGTAGTTATTATTATTAGCCCCATTTTATCAATGAGGAAACAAAAGCAGAGAGAAATTAAATGACTTACTCAAGGTCATATAATAAATAAGTGGCAGAGCCAGGATTCAAACCCAGCAGTTCGGTTCATAATTTGTGCTCTTAAAGGCACTCTACACATTGATTAAACCCAAATGTTACTATTCAGAACACATATAAAGCAAGGAGGAAAAAAATCAGCACATTAACAAGTTTGGCACATCTATTACATAAGAAATTCTTACATTAACCAAAACACTCTGTAGATTACCCTGAAAAATATAAATGCTTACTATCTGGATAACACATCCTTTCAACAGTTTTGTCTTCAACTTTTCCTTATAAACACAGACCACCTATATTTTAGCTCTTAACGCCAACATATGGTTTTGTGTAACTATGAATAACCATTTTGCTAATGTAAAGATCACCTGTTTATCTTTTCTTAGAAATGAAAAATATTGACTAATATTACTCAAGTACTTAAATGTCACTTTTCTCTTCAAAAGATTAGATACTTAATTTTTCAATAGCCCATGTGTTATAAGTACTATAATTTCTACTACATAAATAAGAAAATCAAGAAGATGAATTACTAGCCCGGGGGGATTACATTTCCAAATTAGAATTCAGGCTACTCCACCTTTCCAGTTCCTTCCTCAAGTTAGGCCTTCTTATAAAAATCAAAATATCCAAAGTTTGTGTACTTAGTTCATGTAGTAACCAGCAAAAATATTATCACACAAGAGGTCTAGCTAACCTCAAAAGATCTGAAAGTGTTATTGCTTCTCTCTGCCAAAGTAAGGACAAGTAACAGAAGGCGAGTGTCTGTGGCACGGTCATCTTCACAATTCCTTTCTCCTTTCGTTGTGAGTATTCAACTCCATCCAGAGATCCAGAGCAGACAGACGTTTCTTAGGAGATAAATGGAGATTTTAAAAAATCCACGTAACTATTTGGATAACAAAAGAAAAACAACAAAAAATCTAAACAGACATTTTAAATATTGACATGGTTTGGCTGTGTCCCCACCCAAATCTCATCTTGAACTGTAGTCCTCATAATTCCCACGTCATGGGAGGGACCCGGTGGGAAGTAACTGAATCACGGGGGCGGGTTTTTTCCACGCTGTTCTCATCAGAGTGAATAAATCTCACGAAATCTGATAGTTTTATACAGGGTAGTTCCCCTGCACACGCTCATCTTTCCTGCCACCATGTAAGATGTGCCTTTGCTCCTTCTTCACCTTCTACCATGATTGTGAGGCACCTCCAGTCATGTGGAACTGTGAGTCCATTAAACTTATTTTTCTGTATAAACGACCCAGTCTCGGGTATTTCTTCATAGCAGTAAGAAAACAGAGTAATACAAATATCTTAAAACTAGTTATAAAACCTTTACAAAGAGCAATTTGGCAATAAAGAGTAATGAAGGACTAGAATAAAATCAGCCAAAAATGTAATCATGGGATATCTGTGGGAGTGGGATGGGACAGGATTCTAAAGAGGGATTTGAGCCAGGCACAGTGGCTCACACCTGTAATCCTGGCACTTTGGGAGGCCAAGGTGGGCAGATCACTTGAGGTCAGGAGTTCGAAACCAGCCTGGTCAACATGATGAAACCTCGTCTCTACTAAAAATACAAAAAATTAGCCGGGTGTGGTGGTGGATGCCTATAATCCCAGCTACTCAGGAGGCTGAGACAGGAGAACCGCTTGAATCCGGGAGGTGGAGGTTGCAGTGAGTCGAGATCGCACCATTGCACTCCAGCCTGGGTAACGGAGCGAGACTCCCGTCTCAAAAATAAAAAAAATAAAAAAATAAAAAATAAAGGATTTGAACTGTTTGATCTTTTTAATAGTGAACATAAACAATTTTTTAAATAAAGGAAAGGATATGCAATTACAATGCACAGCAACAGATGTGTAACTGCCTCAACTCCCATGTCCCCTTCTCTACAAGGCCTCTCCAAAACTCCAAAACTTAGCTAGAGCAGCACCTCCTCCTATCCCCATCCTCCAGGTATCCTCTACCATATGACATTATGGTATCTTCATTCATTCACCGGATGCTTATTCATCTCATTCTTTGTGCCACTCTTCTATGTCTCAGGAAATGACAAGTGAACCATGTCTCATCTCTCTTAGAACCTATATTCTAGTAATGGGAGACAGACCAATAAACAAACAAACAAGAAATAAAACTGGCAGAGCCAAGTGCCATGGTGTGCATCTGTAATCCTGTAATCCCAGCTACTAGGGAAGATGAGACAGGAGGATCACTTGAGCCCAAGAATGCGAGACTAGCCTGGGCAACACAGAGAGACCCTAACTCAAAAAAAAAAAAAAAAAAAATTACAATTGACAGATAGTGATGCTACATAGAAAGATAGCAATGTAGAGTCATATAAAGTGATGGGAAGGGAAGAGAGATGTGCTATTTTACATGGGTGTCAGAGAAACCTCATTGAGAAGGTGACATTTGAGGAGAGACCTGAATTAATTCAGAAAGTAAGTCTTAAGGATGTTGGGAAGAATACCAAGTATATTAGCAGGAGTGAACTGCAGGAACAGAAAAAGGCCAGTGTAGTGACAGCATCATGGGATGCTACAAAATACAGTTTCTACATAAATCTGCCACGATTGTGTGGCTTCCCCAGCCATGTGGAACTGTGAGTCCATTAAACCTCTTTTTCTTTATAAGAACAGAAATTTCTGAGAGAAAGTAGCAGGAATGATACTGAAGAGAGAGTAAGAACTATATTATGTAGAATTTTGTAGGTCATGATTTGTACTTTGGATTTTATTCTAAGTATAAGAAATTTCGGGAGAGTTTTAAAACATGGAAGCAACAGGACCTCATTTATGTATGAGGTCATTCTAGCTGCTGTGGGAAGAATGGAGTTATGGGAGGACAGGAGTAGAAATGCAAGACCACTCTTCCAGGAAACCCATGACTGGTACTTGGACTGGAGTGGTAGCATTGCAGCTAGTGAGAAATGGTTGGATTCTAGACAGATTTTAAAGGCTGAGTCAAAGGATTTGCTCCTAGATTGGATGTGAAGCATGAGAGAAAAGGAGAAAACAAGTATGATTCTGAGGTTGTTGGCCTGAGCAACAAGTAGCATGCACTGTCATTTACCACGACAAGGAAGATGGCAAAAAAAACAAAAAAACAAAATCAGGTTTGATGAGCAAAATCACAATGTCAGAATTATATGTGCTGGCCAGGCACGGTGGCTTATGCCTGTAATCCCAGCACTTTGGGAGGCCGAGGTGGGCAGATCACGAGGTCAGGAGATCGAGACCATCCTGGCTAACACGGTGAAACCCCGTCTCTACTAAAAATATAAAAAATTAGCCAGACGTGGTGGCAGGTGCCTGTAGTCCCAGCTACTTGGGAGGCTGAGGCAGGAGAACGGCGTGAACCCAAGAGGCGGAGCTTGCAGTGAGGTGAGACAGCACCACTGCAGTCCAGCCTGGGCAAAAGAGCGAGACTCCCTCTCAACAACAAAAAAACAAACAAACAAACAAAAAAAAAAAGAATTACATGTGTTAAGTATGAATCTTATTAAATACATCAATAGAAATGTTGAGTCAGCAGCTGAATGTAAGAATCTATACTTCGGAGAAGAGGTGGGACTAAAGATACGAATTTTAGTTTCAGCATATAGTTGGTGGTTGGTTGAAGCTACGGTATTAGGTGAAGTCACATAAGGTGTAAGGGTAGATAAAGAAGCAGGACTAGGAATGACCCTGAGAATCTACGCTTTCTTAAACATAAACTCTCAAAATCACTCCTCAAAACCTCTTTCTCCAAATTCTGTAAGTCCTTGCTTCACGGCACTTATCAGCAACTAAAATGTTCTTTATTTGGTCATTTATTGCCTATCTTCTCCTAAACACCTTGAAGGCGGACGGTCTTGCCACCATATTACGTCCCAGTGCCCAGAACAGTCTCTAGCACAGAGTAGAAACCCGATGTGCAAATAGGCCCAACAGTTCTACTTTGAAGATTTCATCCCAGTGAAATGATTTGAAAGCCATGCAAAGGTTTAGGATCAAGAAATGTTGTCGCAGCACTGTTTATAATATAAAAAAAATTTAGAACAACCTAAATGCCAGGAATAGAAGTTTAATTAAATAATTCCATGCAATGGTATACTACAAAACAATGTCCATAATACTTTTAGATCAGTGGTTCTCAAAGTATACTCCTGGACCAGCAGTATTAATATCACCTGAGAACCTAATGGAAATGCAAATTACTGAGGTTTAACAAGCTCTTCCGTTGATTCCAATGGATGCTGAAGTTTAAGGACTATCAGTTTTAAATGAATATATAAAGTCACAGATTTCCATAAAACAAATGTGTGTGCGTACACATACACAATTTTTTGTATATTCCTTATAATATGTAAGGACTTCCAGTTAAGGTGGCAAATTGAAAACACATGTTAGCCTCTGCTCTCTCCCGCTACAACAACTATAAAGAGAATTTTTTAAACACGTAAACCTGAGGACAACATGAAAAAGGTGACAAGAACAATAAAATTTTAGAAGTCAGAAAGCATACAGATAGGTGTTACTGGCTTAGCAGTCCTGAGAAAGCTAGATCCAAAGCCAGCAGTAGGGAATGCCACAAAGCAGTTTTCACTGGGGACCCCTAAAGAAGGCTCAGGAATTGGAGACGCTCATACCCCTAGAAACTGGATGAAGCCAGGCCTAACACCAGGATGACTGCTTAAAATCCAAATTAAGAAGCAGTTAAGACATCCAGATTCTCTCTTTTTTTTAGACGGAGTCTCGCTGTTGCCCAGGCTGGAGTGCAGTGGTGTGATCTCAGCTCACCACAACCTCCAACTCCCGGGTTCAAGCCACTCTCCTGCCTCAGCCTCCTGAGTAGCTGGGACTACAGGCAGGCGCCACCATGCCCATCTATAATTTTTTGTATTTTAGTAGAGACGGAGTTTCACCATGTTGGCCAGGATGGTCTCAATCTCCTGCCCTCGTGATTCACCTGCCTCGGCCTCCCAAAGTGCTGGGATTATAGGCGTGAGCCACCACGCCCAGCCAGACATCCAGATTCTTATCCCAAACCCATGCAGCCAAGTGATGCCCCTCCCTAGTCTTGGCCAAAAACTGGAAATTTCTTCTCCAGAGAGAAGGGTCTCTAGAATAAGGCATGCCAGTCACATGCACCGTTGAGAAGTGAAAACAGGAGGCTTAAGTGAAAGTTTACATACTGAATACTAAAACAATCCTCCATTCCCCTCAGGCCTTCTTCTTCCTAACCAGTTCCCAGAACAGTGACAGCCAGGATTACAAACCTGCCAAACAGAAGACTCAAAGAGATTTCTCTGAGGAATCTGATCAGCTCCGGGGGGAAAAGATTTAAAGATGATAATGCTGGGGTTCACTGAGAAAATAACCTTGCATACAGAGCAGAGCTGACAAGTCTCACCGTGGAAACAAAGCCTTCTATCAACTTTTTAGTCTCCATGGTTGAGTAAGAATAGCTATCTTAGGCTCACTAAACATTTAAAGCCTTTCACACAAAAAGCAGAGGCCAAAACAATCAAGTCAGGGGTGAAATATCATTAATATTCTCTGTGAAATAAAACATGTTCCACAAAAATGAGAGGGTAATCCAGGAAAGAAGAAATGGGATGTGGAAAATAAAAAATTCCAACAAAAGAAAAATGATAGAATCTCAGGATGGTGGTAAAGAGAGATCCTGGCTGGGCGGCGGTAGCTCATGCCTATAATCCCAGCCCTTGGGGAGACCAAGGCGGGCGTATCACAAGGTCCGGAGATCAAGACCATCCTGACTAACACGGTGAAAGCCCGTCTCTACTAAAAATACAAAAAAAATTAGCTGGGCGTGGTAGTGGGCGCCTGTAGTCCCAGCTACTCAGGAGGCTGAGATAGGAGAATGGTGTGAACCTGGGAGGCGGAGCTTGCAGTGAGCCAAGATCACACCACTGCACTCCAGCCTGGGCAACAGAGCAAGATGTCATCTCAAAAAAACAATACAAAACAAAAAAAACCAGAGAGATCCTGAGTCAGCCAGGCCACAGGTCTAGAGACATCACTCTAGATCAGAGCAGATCAGAGGCTCCAGGCAGACTTCTTCCAGAAGATGAAATTGATAGAATACATAAGGTATTAAGAGATTATAAGAACTGGGAGGAAGTGTGGAGATACATTAGTAATAAATTATAGATTAGTGATAAACAGAAAACTAAGTAAATAACAATGATCAACTCTAAGAAAACCACAGGATATACAGAAAAAGTAATCATAGTAAGCTATATGGCTCAGTCTAAATAATGTTTATACATTTATAATAATTTAAGCAGTAAATACTGATCTAGTAAAAGATTACAGTAATTATATTGGGAAGAGAGAGAATGAGAAATGTACACTCATGTACTGGTGACTATGTGAAGATAAGGGACAGTGAGGAATGTGTGAAAGAGCTAAAATGGAATCCAATAGCTAATGTCCCAAACCAGAAATCAAGATGTAATACTAGAAGCGTGTGATACAGAAATATGGAAGTTACAAAAGAGTTGAAAATGAATGCCTCTTGGGAATAGGACATTAGCTGAAGGTAGACTACAAATTTTATTATTATTTTTTAAGACAGGGTCTTGCTCTGTTGGCCAGGCTAGAGTGCAGTGGCATGATCATGGCGCACTGCAGCCTCGACCTCCTGGCTCAAGCACTCCTGCAACCTCAGCTACCTGAGTAGCTGGGACCATAGGCATGTACCACCATGCCTAGCTAATTTTTTTATTTTTTGAGGGATGGAGGTCTCACTATGTTGCCCAGGCTGGTCTTGAACTCCTGGGTTCAACTGATCCTTCCTCTTTGGTCTCCCAAAATGCTGGGATTACGATAGGTGTAGTCCATGGCCATGACTAGTGGACTAAAACTTTAACCAATTTTTTATTTTTGCAATTTTTTATAACAAGATTTACAGAATGATTTGTAGAATTTTGATTTAAAAATTTAAAGAATGAAGAAATAATTCAAATTTTTACAAAAACCAAATAAACTCCCTATACATACATGAAGAAAAACTTTCTGGAATGATCTACAATAGCAGTAGCAGTAATTTCTGGCGGGTACAATAACTGGTGATTTTATTTTCTTTGTGACTATCTGCATTTTACAGTTTTATATTGAGTTTCATTAATAATTACTTTTTTTTTTTTTTTGAGATGGAGTCTTGCTCTGTTGCCTACACTGGAGTGCAGTGGTGTAATCTTGGCTCACTAAAACCTCTGCCTCCCGGTTCAAGCAATTCTGCCTCAGCCTCCCAAGAAGCTGGGACTACAGGTGCGCACCACCATGCCTAGTTAATTTTTGTATTTTTAGTAGAGATGGGGTTTCACCATGTTGGCCAGGCTGGTCTTGAACTCCTGACCTCAAGTGATCTGCTCACCTCAGCCTCCCACAGTCCTGGGATTATAGGTGTGAGCCATCCCGCCCGGTCAATGATTACTTTTAAAGTAAAAACTAAAAGAAAGCTCTAGGGATCATCATTTACAAAAAAACAAATAAGCAGGCCAGGCGTGGTGGCTCACGCCTGTAATCCTAGTACTTTGGGAGGCCGAGGCGGGCCGATCACGAGGTCAGGAGCTCGAGACCAACCTGACCAACATGGTGAAACCCCCGTCTCTACTAAAAATACAAAAATTAGCCAGGTGTTGTGGCGCACGCTTGTAATCCCAGCTACTCAGGAGGCTGAGGCAGGAGAATTGCGTGAAACTGGGAGGCGGAGGTTGCAGTGAGTCAAAATTGCACCACTGCACTCCAGCCTGGGTGACAGAACCAGACTCTGTCTCCAGAAACCAAAAACAAAACCAGAAACAAATAAGCAAACAAAACCGTTAAACACAGGTAAACAAAACAATCATGATGCTTTAAAGGGAGATGATATCTTTTTTAAAAAAAGTTCGATCGTTTTACAGTCACGGTCTTCTGGGACTATTTGAGCTCAGGCCTCTCTGAAAAGGTGAAGAAAACTCTAGAAATTCCTTGTTGCCCAATTAGTCGATGATCCTAACACTTTACACAAAAAGTAACTTACTTGATATCCATGTCACTGTGCAGTCCAGCAAGAGATGTAGATAAACTGATAAAGGAATTCTTAATCTTTGAAGGGCAAGGAATGTTTGTTGAAAATTTTATATAACTACACTTAACCCAGATAGCAATAAACAATTCCTAATACCAGAGGGTTTGGAAAGCCTGGTCTGTTTTCCATCATCTAAAAAAAAAAAATGTAGTGAAGGAAAAACTAAAATGAATGAATTCTTTAGGAAGAAGGCCTAATATTTTAATCCTAAATATATTCCTTATTTATTTCAAGTTATGAGATTACATCAGAAAGTAAAACACACATGTAGCAAGGTAAATTTTACTCAGCTTGCTTTAGTCTATGCTTAGAAATCGGACATATCATCTTTGTCTATTTTACTATACAGATACATGATAAAATTCTTCTGCTACAACTTTTCTTTGAAAACTCTGAGCCCACACATATATGATCTTTTTGAAGTAGCCTCTTTCTTTCTGGATCCACTTGAACTTTATGTCCCTTTAAAGTCACACACAAAAAACTCACATGGAGACAATGTGTCTTTTAAAAAACTGCACTAAGATTTCACTTAGTTTGTCTTAGCCACATGATTCAGCAAGTCATTCTTCCTTGCTAGACCAAGTTCCCTTTCCTTGGATTATCAGAAGATCAGACTAAATTATTTTTAAGGAGCATACCAGTTTTAAAATTCTAAATGGTTTGGTTCTCATTTTTACCTGATTGTGATGCTTTGCTGACGGGGAAAGGTTTTCGAGTGTGGATGTCAGACTGAGACTCCGCTCCACTTTCAAGAAAAGGAGGACAGCTGACATCGCTTAGCAGCTCAGGCTCACTAGCCCAGTCTGAATGACTTCGATTATCTTCTAATACCTGTTTGCAAAATAATATAAATAAAATCATTGCATAACAGTTTTAAACAGTTAATTTCTGTGAACTTAAAACAACTCCAGACTATCACAAACACCCTAAAAGAAACCACTCCTAGAGAAGTGCAACTGTCTGCCAAGTCCCTTTACTTCTGAAACATGTTCCTGACAGCTCCCAGCAGTGCTTCTTGGAGAAGAGTCACAGACAAGGATGGGCAAGGAAACCGCTGCCAGCCCTGCCATCAGGTCTCCTTCTTCCATGAACATCTCTCTTACAGCGCTAGTATCTTCACCACTGAAAACACTGCACATCAATGACTCCACACACGCTGGCTGGCTCCTTTTTACCAAACCTACCTGGGAAATTTTTGCTTGGTATCTTTGTTAACTCTGGTTCTCCCGCCTGAACTATCATCCCTTTTCCTCCCTCTAACTCATTACTTACTCATCATGCCATCTTTCCAACCCACTCTTCAGTGATTTCTCCTTTCCTTGAACTTCTATAGCACATATGATTTGTAACATGTAATCAACAAGGATATACTATCTTATACTACTGTTTAACTGTTCACACATGTACTGTTGAAATGAGTGTCCCTAAAAAGGTCAGCTACCTAAATACCTCATCAGCTGACATTACCTAGGTAAACCGATCGCAGTCAAAAAGCCATGATTTTCAACCCTGCAGGCCAATAAACTTGATCTTATTACAGGAAGATAAGACTCCTGGTAAAGAGGCTCACAAGACAATGAAGCAAAAAAAAAAAAAAAAAACACTCAGAATGAAATAAGATGCTTGTGTCCTCTGGCAAACATATCCCCTCCCCACAGGGAAGCCCCATGAGAAGGAGGCTACACCAGGAAGCTGGCTGATGAGCATGAACACACTGAGAAAACTTCCACAGGTTCCCACAGGTAACCACTGCCAGCAACTCTACCACATACTCTGCCTCCGCCTGATTCTTCTGGATGATTCAAACTCCTGTCTAAAGCCAGTTTCTCTATTTGCACACATGATCCCACCTCTCTGTATATTCAAAGATATCTGTTCAAAGATTCACATCAACTCTTTCTCTCCATCGCAAATTTTTCTTCTCTCCTGCATCATTCCTATCACTACACAAATATGCTACCATTTATCCCACTTTTTAAAAGCTCTCCCTTGACCCTAGCAACCATGGAATTTCTTTGTACTTGTTGCAGCAAAATGCCTTGAAAAAGTCCAGATTTGTTGTCTCCAATTTCTCTCCTCTCAGTCTACCTTATATTCCATTCCAATTAAGGTTTTGATCCCACTGCTCCACTAACCACTTTGCAGCCCTCTTCCTTCTTGACCTAGTGACAGCATTTATCACAGCTGGATCACTGTTCTCTTCTTGAAACACTTTGTTCCCTTGGTCTCCAGAGTGCTCATTCTCTCAGCTGTCCTCTTACTTCACATTGTTCCTAAGAATTTTTTTGCCGGTTCCTTTTTTATCCCAAACATCTTAACCCTAGAATAACCTAGAGCTAAGTTATTGGTCCTCTCTCTGTCTTCACATCTTGGTGATGTCATCTGGTCTTATGGTTTTAAATACTAGCTACTATCTTCAAATCGTAAAATGTACCCCCCATACCACATTTTAACATCCTAGAAATTGAGATTTATCTTACAATCACTGGCATGTCACAATTGAATTTGCAGCACTCTTTTCTTTCTTAGCAGTACTTAAAATAATGGTGTATCTTACAAACAATGGCATGTTAAGATTTCATGATTATAATATAAACTAACAGCTTCAAAATTTATGTCTCCAGCCCAGACCTCTCTCCCGAACTGCAGACTTTTATATCTAACTGCATACTTGAAATTTCCTCTTGGATGCTGCTATGGTTTGGCTCTGTGTTCCCACCCAAATCTCTTGAATTGTAATCCCCACGTCTGGAGGGAGGGACCTAGAGGGAAGTGACTGGATCATGGGGGAAGGTTCCCCCAGGCTGTTCTTGTGATAGTGAGGGAGTTCTCATGAGATCTGATCATTTTAAAAGTGGCAGTTTCCCCTGCACGCTCTCTCTCCCCTGCTGGAAGACATGCCTTGCTTCACCTTTGCTTTCCACCATGATTTAAAAAGTTTCCTGAGGCCCCTGCCATGCAGAACTCTGAGCCCATTAAACCTCTTTTGTTTATAAATTACCCAGTCTCAGGTAGTATCTTTATAGGAGTGTGGAAACAGACTAATACAGGAAATTGGTACCAGAAGTGGAATACCACCATAAAGATACTTGAAAATGTGGAAGCAACTTTGGAACTGGGTAACAAGCAGGGGTTGGAACAGTTTGGAGGGCTCAGAAGAAGACAGGAAGATCAAAGAAGGTTTGAAACTTCCTAGAAACTTGTTGAATGATTGTGATCAAAATGCTGTTAGTGGCCAGGTGTGATGGCTCACGCCTGTAATCTCAGCACTTTGAGAGGTGGAGGTGGGCCTGACCTGAGGTCAGGAGTTCAAGACCAGCCTGACCAACATGGTGAAACCCCATCTCTACTAAAAACACAAAAAAGTAGCTGGACATGGTGGCATGCGTCTGCAGTCCCAGCTACTCAGGAGGCTAAGCCACAAAAATCACTTGAACCCAGGAGGCGGAGGTTGCAGTGAGCCAAGGTGGTGCCACTGCACTCCAGCCTGAGCAACAAAGCAACACTCCATCTCAAAAAAAAAAAAAAAAATGCTGATAGTGATATGGACAATGAAGTCCAGGCTGAGGTGGTTTCAGATGGAGATGAGGAACTTATTGGGAACTGGAGTAAAGGTTACTCTTGCTACGCTTTAGCAAAGAGACTGGTGGCATTTTGCCCCTGCCCTAGAGATCTGTAGAACTTTGAAGCTGAGAAAGATGATTCAGGGTATCTGGCGGAAGAAATTTCTGAGCAGCAAAGCATTCAAGAGGTGACCTGGCTGATTCTGAAAGCATTCAGTCATGTGCATTCACAAAGAGATTATCTGAAACTGGAACTTTTATTTAAAAGGGAAGCAGAGCATAAAAGTTTGGAATATTTGCAGCCAGACCACAAGGTAGAAAAGAAAAACCCATTTTCTGGGGAGAAAATTCAAGCCGGCTATAGAAATTTGCGTAAGTAATGAGGAGTGAATGTTAACACTCAAGACAATGGGGAAAATGTCTCCAGGACATGTCAGAGATCTTTGAGACAGCCCCTCCCATCACAGGCCCAGAGGCCTAGGAGGGAAAAATGGTTTTGCAGGCCAGGTCCAGGGCGCAGCTACTTTGTGTAGCCTCAGGATATGGCACCCTGCATCCCAGCCACTCCAGCTCCAGCCATGGCTAAAAGGCACCAAAGTATAGCTCAGGCCATGGCTTCAGAGGGCGCAAGCCTCAGGCTTTGGCAGCTTCCATGTGGTGATGGGCCTGTGGGTGCATAGAAGACAAGAGCTGAGGTTTGGGAACCTCTGCCTAGATTACAGAGGATGAAGGGAAATGCCTGGATGTCCAGGCAGAAGACTGCTGCAGGGGCAGAGCCCTTATGGGGAACCTCTTCTAGGGAAATGTGGGATTGGAGCCCCAACACAGAGTCCCCACTGGGGCTCTGCCTAGTGGAGCTGTGAGAAGAGGGCCACCGTCCTGCAGACCCCAGAATGGTAGATCCACTGACATCTTGCACCATGCGCTTGGAAAGCCGCAGACAGTCAACTCTAGTCCATGAAACTCTGGACCACGTGGCTCCTGCAGAGCCAAAGGAGCAGAGCTGCCCAAGACCTTGTGAGACCACTCCTTGCATCAGCATGCCTGGATGTGAGACATGGAGTCAAAGCTTATTTTGGAGCTTTAAGGTTTAGTGAATGCCCTGCTGGGTTTCAGACTTGTATGGGGCCTGTGGTCCCTTTGTTTTGGCCAATTTATTCCATGGGGATTGGGAACATTTACGCAATGCCTGTAACCTCATTTCATCTTGGAAGTAACTAACTTGTTTTTGATTTTATAGGCTTATAGGTGGAAAGGACTTGCCTTGTCTCAGATGAGACTTTGGACTTGAACTTTTGAGTTAATGAGTTAATATGCTGGAACAAGTTAAGACTTTGGTAGACTGTTGGGAAGGCAAGATTGATTTTGCAATGTGAGAAGGACATGAGATTTGGCAGGGGCCAGGGATGGAATGATATGGTTTGGCTCTGTCCCCAACCAAATTTCTCATCTCGAATTGTAATCTCCACATGTTGTGAGAGGGACCTGGTGAGAGGCGACTGGATCACGGGGGTGGTTTCCCCCATGCTGTTCTCATGATAGTGAGGGAGTTCTCATGCAATCTAATGGTTTTAAAAGTGGCAGTTTCCCTCTGCATGCGCTTTCTCACACACACGCATTCTCTCTCTGTCTCTCTCCCTCTCTCTCTCCTGCTGCCATGTAAGACATGCCTTACTTCCCCTATCCTTGGGCCATGATTACATGTTTTCTAGGGCCTCCCCAACCATGTGGAACTGTGAGTCAATTAAACTTCTTTTGTTTAGAAATTGCCCTGTCTCAGGTAGTATTTTTATAGCAGTGTGAAAATGGACTAACACAGATGCTAACAGCTGTCTCAAACTTAACATGTCTAAAACGGAACCCTTGATCTTCCAGGCCCACTTACCCTTCAGTTGATGGCAACTCCTTCCTTCCAGCTGCTCAGGTCAAAAACCTTAGAGTCATCATTGACTCCTATTCCTCTCTTTCTCCCACACCCCACATCCAATCCATCAGGAAATTCTGTTGGCTCTATCTTCAGACTTTATATAGAATCCTATCACTTAACACCTCCAGTTCTACCTCCTGGTCCCAGCCACCATCACTTCTCATCTACACCAGTGCTTCTCAAACTTCAGTGTAGTGTATAGGAAGCACCCAGGGACTTCTTAAAATGCATACCTGCATTCAACTGGTCTTGGTAAGACCTGAAATTCTGCATTTCTTACTCTAGATATCCCATGGTTTACTCTCTCACTTTCTTCATCACTTCAGCTCCCTCATCAGCAAGAGCCTCCATGACCACCTTTTATTAAATAGCACCCTTCCCCACTGTCCCCCTCTCTATGTTTGCTTGTTAATTTGCTGCTTCTGCATATTTTCAGTAATTTACCTCACGAAAGATAATACAGCTCAAAAGTAGGGACCAGGATTCAGAAGCAGGCCTCTTACTGTTCTCAAAACAGTTATATCCAAAGCACTAAGGAAATATTTAATGGATATACCTGAGAAAACTATGCTTCTAATTAAAAGTAATTGTTCCCATTTCCTTTCAAAATTGAAGTAGAAATTATCTTACCAATTCACGTATCAGCTTAATATTTTACTTATTGCTTACTTATTCACTAAGATTTTAGCGAGATGCTAATATTGCTTTACACAAGAAATTACTCAACTCTAGCAAAACCTTTTTTAAAAAAAATCTTAAGTTAACCCCAAAATATTTATATGTCAGTGACCCTGTCCTTCTGGACTGTAACAGAAGCCTCTTAACTGAAAATCCTCTGACAAGCATCATAATCTCAGATACTCAAACTGGTCAGGAACCCATCTTCATCTCTACATCTCAACAGACATGTTTTTTAATCCAACTTTCAGACTTGTGACTTACTGTAGGTTTCCTTCCAGTGGTATAAACTGGGTTCTTACAATATGCCTGCTTGCTCTTCTGAAGGTAGCGCTTCCAAAAATTATGTAAAACGTCATTCTAAGGAGGAAGGGAAATGAGTGGGGGGTGATTCAGGTTATGACGACAAATGTACAGGCACATCTATACCACAGCTCTCTTGTATTTTACATATTACATATAAATTTCCAGTATATGTTTTACGTGGTATTCACAATTTGAGAACAAAATCTTTGGTGTCTGTATGTAGCATCTATCAGAACATGAGTTCCACAAAATGCACATTGGGGATTAATATGTTGAACTAGTGGTTCTCAAGCTTAAGTGTGCATCAGAATCACCTGGAGGGCTGGTTAAGTCTTCCATCTACACGTATTCTTACCTGCTTTTCCTTAAAAAGAATTATAATATCATCATAGTATCAGGTACATGAGAAATGTTGAAAAAATCCTTCTTAATTTTAGATTTTAGAGAAAGACATTAAAATAACCTAGTTGAGTCCTTTTCTTTTGCATATTAGTAAATTAAGGATCAGAGTAGGAAAGCAACTGATACATGACTACACTTTTAGTTAGGGGCAAAGTTGTTACCAGGTTTACTAACCAGTCCCAGGTGAAAGTAAAACTAAACAAAAAACTTTTCCGGCCGGGCAGTGGCTCACTACTGTAATCCCCAGACTTTGGGAGGCTGAGGCAGGAGAAACTGCTTGAGCCCAGGAGTTCAAAACCAGCCTGGGCAACATGGTGAGACCTCATCGCTACAAAAAATCAAAAAGTTAGCCAGGTATGGTGGCACACACCTATAGTCCCAGCTACTTGGGAGGCTGAGGTGGGAGGATCACTCAAGTCTGGGAGGTTGGGGCTGCAGTGACCCATGATCAGGTCACTGCACTCCAGTCTGGGCAACAGAGCAAGACCCTGTCTCACAAAGAAAAAAAAAACAAACAAAAAGACTCTTCCATTTTTTCATCATCTACTAGGTACCAGGCATCCCTTAGCTCCAACACAATACTGTAAGACAGCTATTAGCTTCATTTTACCATTGAAGAAAATGAGTAACTTGTCCAAGATTACCCAGCCGGTAAGTAGAAAAACTATCAATAGGATGTGGAGTCAGTTTTGATTCTGGAGCCTGCGTACATGGCATAATGCCACTCAACTGATGAGGTCTGAACAGTTATGCTCATTGGCTAATTTCAGAAAAATTGTTTTCAGAATTAACCCCTAATGAGGTTGAGCATAAAGTTACATAGGAATAAACCCTGCTACAGCTATACAGTGTAATTATATAAAATTGTTTCTAAACATGTATACACAGAATGACTACGTGAGCAGAAACCAGATCACAAACCCCCACTATCAGCTATCATACCTAATGCAAACACTATTATGGGTAAGCCTCTGTTGCTTCATGCTTCTGAATTTTTAATACTTAACGCCTTTCAGGGTAGGCCCAGCATCCATTTAGGCCATGCATTGGAAGTGTAGTTGTTCTGTTTGGGCTTGCCCCAGCCACCAGTTTGAACAGCAAAGGCTCCTCTACAAATCTTTCCTTGGTGACTGCAGCCCACGTTGATCTTTATCTGTTCTCTTTTTGCCTTTAATATCACTTATGAGGGTCAGGTGCAGTGGCTCACGCCTGTAATCCTAGCACTTTGACAGGCCGAGGTGGGTGGATTGCCTGAGCTCAGGAGTTTGAGCCCACCCTGCGCAACATGGTGAAACCCCATCCCTACTAAAACATAAAAAATTAGCCAGGTGTAGCAGCGTGCGCCCGTAGTCCCAACTACTCGGGAGGCTGAGACAGGAGAATTGCTTGAACACGGGAGGTGGAGGTTGCAGCGAGCCAAGATTGTGCCACTGCACTCCAGCCTAGGCAACGAGAGCAAGACTACCTCTCTTAAAAAAAAAAAAAATTCCCTTATGAGTATATCACCATATAAATTCATGTCTATTCATTTCACATACGCCCAAATGCCTCTCCCCAACTAGGCTGGACCTCTCAACACTTGGTTTCCAATGAAGCATATGAAGCAAGGGAACAACTTGTTGCTAAATAACTCGCTTTTTTTTTTTTTTTGAGATGGAGTCTCGCTCTGTTGCCCAGGCTGGAGTGCAGTGGCCGGATCTCAGCTCACTGCAAGCTCTGCCTCCCGGGTTTACACCATTCTCCTGCCTCAGCCTCACGAGTAGCTGGGACTACAGGCGCCCGCCACCTCGCCCGGCTAGTTTTTTGTATTTTTTTAGAGACGGGGTTTCACCGTGTTCGCCAGGATGGTCTCGATCTCCTGACCTTGTGATCCGCCTGTCTCGGCCTCCCAAAGTGCTGGGATTACAGGCTTGAGCCACCGCGCCCAGCCATAACTGGCTTTTTAAAGGATTCTTTAAATGGCTTTTACTAGATGAACGAATGTGAAATTCAAATAATTGCAGAAATACTACGTTGCTCCAGGAAGGCAGGAAAGTCAAAGTGTGGTCCCCAGACCAGAAGCATCGGTGTCCCATAAGAACCTGTTAGAAATGCACATTCTTGGGCCCTACTCAGACATACTAACTCAGAAATTCAGGGGTTAAGGTCCAGTGACTGGTGTTTTATCAAGCCCTCCAGGTGATTCTGATGCACACTCAGGTGAACGACTGGTTGAGCATATCACTGTCCAAAATGCATTCTGTGGAACTCAAGTCCTGAAAGACGTTATGTACATACACCAAATGACTCTGTTCTCAAATTGTGAATACCACACAGGACATTCCCTGGAAATTAAACAAGCACATTAACACATAAATGGTACTAATAAACTCCCAAAGTTATTTGAGTTTTACTTTGTTTAACCTGTTGTTTCCAAAGTATCTGAAGACTAAAACCTTTAAATTTTTCTTTTGGATGTATTGCTTATTTACATCCTGTAGAATACACTTCCAGAACTGCTAATCTACTAAAAGGTTAAAGCAAAAACATCAGAAAAATTATTCTTCCAGTAGCCCTAGTGTTATTACTGATTTCTCCTTAGTTCCACTCTTAAGTCTTACTGTTCTTTAAACAACAATATGTAAAGCTAACATCTAGTCACAAATGTACTCACCTTTAACTCTGGGCCTATTCCAAGGTTCTTTAAGGCTTCTGCTTGTTGACAAAGAATGTTCTGGAAACCTTCACACACATACCAATCCCAGCCTTTTTCTAAATGACAAATAGCATGTTTTAGCATTTACATTTCTAATTTACAAACTTTAATGCTACTACAGTTACAATTTGTGTTTTACATATTGCAACTTGAAGTTTTCTTTTTTTTTTTTTTTTTAAATTAACCCAGAACTTAGCAGCTTAGCAACTTGAATGTTTTTGTACCACTGAAGAGGGTTTCCATTCTTATATTCTTGTTTCCAACCTGGCAAATGTGTATACAAATGCTGAAACCAAATATTTTGTATAATTTCAGATTTCAAATGTTTTCCATTATCTGTATTTTTCTGAAAATACTAACCTAAGAGGCAGAAAAATGAATAGTCACCACGTTAAAAAAAAAAGTGAAACAAGTTTTTAAAATGTCTGTTTTCCCGAACGATGCCCGGCAGAATCCTAAATGACCAACGATGCCCAGCGGAATCCTAAATGAAAGTACTAAGTTACCGCTTCCACCGCTTTTCTGTTCCAACTCACAAGGGAACGGTGAACTTCTAGTGAATGAATAGACGAATGTCAAGATCTTGTGATACAGGAGTACAGAAAAGGGCAGTAAGAACATTCAAAGAAAATAAAATGCTCAATGGCATTCTGCTTTTCCTGAAATGGTTCTAGGTTATAGGGAGAAAATGAAAGCAAGGTACTAATACTGATTTCAACCTAGGTGCCAAGTGTGTGCTGGGTATTTTAAGTGGGTTATTTTCTTGAATACTCAAAACCACCCTAAGAGACTGTGAAGAAATCTGCCACCACAATAGACAGAGCTACGTGTTTAATGACAACTACGAGCTGAAGGAAAAGTCTATGAAGACCCTTACGTTTTGCCCCTCACCGCTGGACAAATACTGTAACTCTTCCAAAAGCTTGTTATCCGTACTTTTTACACAGAGCTTGAGGTCAGTTACTGACTTCAAGATCTCTTCTCCGCAGAATGCCAGACGACTTCAACTCTTCTCCTTTACCTAAATGTCACAAAGTCTCCCCACCTCTGCTGACTAACCCAATTCCTTCCCAGAAAGGGTCTCAAGTTGTAAGAGTAAAACAGAAAACCCAATAATTCTGAATGGTCCATAAGCTGAGGAAGTTTAAACTCTTCAAGCTACATGCATATATACTCCCTCTTCTTCTTGCATACTGTTCTTAGAAACTGATAAAGTTGTATTTTAAATTTTGAGTCTGTGTTCCTGTTTTCCATAACAGATGGCATTTTATTCTCATTTTACCAATGAAGAAACTAAGGGTGACAAGGTTGACTATAAGACACCTAACACCTAATATAAAGCACCTGAAGTTCCTTAAGAAATGCATGTTTAAACTACACATTTTAACTATTTAAGTAGGTCAAGGCAAAATTAATCGGGTTTCACTCCAATAAAATTTAACAAAAGTTAATCAGGTTTTAGCCTAATAAAAAGTCACTACTAAAGGCTAAACAGAAACATGAGATAGCATTTAGGCATTCACTGTTATTCATCTAAGAATGTTAACGTATTTCATATATTTCATAAACACACACACACAAATAAATATACACATTTTTTTAAATGTGTGTGTATCCTTAAAGCTATCTCATGTAGAAGAGTCCCCATTATCATTACCCGGGTTTCAAACTTGGGGATTTGGTCCTCGGTACTTAGTCAAAAATAAAAACCATCAGTTAGACTTTACCTACGATCCTTCTCAATAATGGTTAATTATATGTACTCACTGGATTAATGAAAGACTTTACCTTTCAAAGCACACTCATGCTGAGGCCATTTTAAGGGAAAATAATTTTCCCAACTTTTAAAAGGATGTGTTCAAAATTCAATACAAGAAATGGATTTCTAGAAGTTGAATATTGTATTTAACTCACCTAACAATTCCACGGTTGAATTATTTCAGAAAATAAGCATTTTTTCTATAAAAGTACAGGAAATCATATTCACCACAATGAATAACAAACATAGGCCAGAAGAACGTATGCCAGTAGATAAAATCTGGCATTTTCTCTAGAATCTACTTAAAATTCCATTCCATGTCCTCACCATGAAGGTGAAGATGTGAATAAAGAATGTTAAGCACATGTGAAGAAAGAACTTACCAGAGTTGTTTTTTTTTTTAAGCCCCCGGTTGAGGGCTTTTATTTGGGTATTAGGAATAAGATCAGTGTTTATAACTTCCTGAGATCTCTGCAGGAACAGAAAAAGACCATTAAAAAGATAGTTTTACATCCCCCCCAAGCATATTTCCAGGTATTTTCTGGAATGTATAATGAACCAAATTGTGAGTACCAGGACGAAGGATGGTAAAATCTTGGGAAAATTATAAACATTTAACATTCTAGTTAATGTTGATGTTGTTTTTTCATTCAAAATTTCTCAGTAACTAAAACAGTGCCTGGAATACAGCAACCATAAAGTGTTTGTAAAATGAATAAACTTTTATTTTAAATCACTTTTTAACTTTTACAAACCAAGCCAAACCAAAAGTTAAATTTACTCACTTTTTTCTCCACGCAAAATACACTTTGGTATTAAAACAGTTTATGTATTTATTGTAAGTGGTAATGCCTAAACTACAGACAGATTACTTCTGGCCTACTTTTCCATGTCTTTGAATAATACTCTAAAACTGCTTTCATTTCTGAAATTATAAAAGTACATATTACCTTTTATTTTTAATCAAACTTACAGAATTTTAGAATGACTAAAATGGTTGGTATAATTCATACCAGAGTCTTCAATCCTAACTGCTCTCAAGGGCAAGTATCAAAGATTCTGGCTCTCCCACAACTAAAAATAAAGTGTTGAGTCTTTTTTTTAAAATGAGGCCACACTTTATTCCATAAAGTAGAATAAATGTTCCCATTATAGAGGTTTTTTTTTTTTTTTTTGAGAGGGAATTTCGCTCTTGTCGCCCAGGCTGGAGTGCAATGACACTATCTCAGCTCACTGCAACCTCTGCCTCCCAGGTTCAAGCAATTCTCCTGCCTCAGCCTCCCGAGTAGCTGGGATCACAGGCATGCGCCACCATGCCTGGCTAATTTTGTATTTTTAGTAGAGACGGGGTTTCTCCATGTTGGTCAGGCTGGTCTCAAACTCCCGACCTCAGGTGATCCACCCACATCGGTCTCCCAAAGTGCTGGGCTTATAGGAGTGAGCCACCGTGCCCAGCCCCCATTATTGAGTCTTAATGCCAGAAGAAAGGTGAGGATTTTTAACCAACAGAGGACAATACTGCTTTTCTAAATGTAGAGATTTGGAATGAAATTTATCTTTAACTCTCCATAAGAATAAAAGATATGTCTCTATCAACAGGAGTTCTGAATTGTAACCTCTCTAATCACAGAAACCATATTCAAAGCAATTTTGGTATACTGGGTTGGCCACACTGAGAACGTAAGACACGTCAAAATAAATACAAAAGCCATTATCTAGCAAAGACAATAAAACTTACGAAGGGTAGCCAGGAAAAAAAGACTTAAAATCTGTACTAGACAAAATGTGAAAGAGCAAAAAACGTGAAAAAGTAAAACATCCAAAACTAGAGCTATAATTAATTAAATTACCGAATGGCTATTACAGAATATTTACAGTCTATAAAAAATGTCTGCAAATGTTTAGATAAAGTAGTTTTCCAAATTGTTATGGCAACAGATTGAACAGTACTCACACATCCCTTTCTCCATTTCATACACAGGAAAAAAGAGACAAATGTAGAGATTACTGGTGATTTTAGCTTTCATCTTCATAATTTCCAAATTTTCTATAGTAAACATGCATTGCTCTTATAATCATAAAAATCTATTAAACTCACACAAGTCTAGCCTATATCTTTTTAAATATCCGTGAAACTCTTGCAAAAATATCTATTGTCTAAATTGAACAGATTTATGACCTTATATATTTTTTTTCCTGGATAAAATATATCAGGATAACATTTTGGTTCCTTTATCAATTCGGAAGTCCTTTCCCAGATTGCAGAGCGTGTCTGGAACTTGAGAGTTACATGCTGAGGAAGAGGGGGCAGTAAAAGGGGCAGAAAAATAAGGCAAGTTGCACCATGACTTCCATTCTTCTAGCTGTAACTGTCTCACTCGTCATTCTCCGCCCACTGTATTTCAGCATCACCATCACCACACTGCTCAGCTCCAGGGAGCCCCAACCACATCATATTCTCACAGTCCATGTGAAGAACATGCCTGGATCACCATAAAGCCGAGAATAACTACTGAAGTTGTGCAACGCATAACTTTTTTTTCCTTTAAGCCTGTTGTCTGAAAGGAAGGCACTGAGCTAGGTTTTTGGTCTTTATAAAGATGTTGTCCATCTTCATGAACTCTACATTCTTGACAAATTACTTCACAGGAGTTGACAGTCTTTCAAATGTGGAGCTAGGTAGTGGTATTAGGATCTTTCAAACTAAAAAATGACTGCAGCAGATTTGATCAAACAGAATCAAACGGAAACTATCAAAACCAGAAATAGAAAAGCAATTAGTTAATGTAGTTCAACTCCTATAAAAATAGTATGTGGACTTCATCTACTAACGGCAAATACTCCATTAGACACAATCTTTCTTCACTGTGTTTACACCTGCACTATAGTACAAAAGCAACAGTAAGTAAAACTGCTAGCTCCTTAATACACACTGAGGGTGAGGACCAAAGTGCATATCTGTCAGGTGCACAATCTGACATACACAGACACACACACAAAATATATCTCCACGAAACCATTACTATAATCAAGATAATAAATATCTCCATCACCCCAACAATTTCATCAAGTGAGCACATATCTTTTTAATATTCTGTGTGACTAAATAGGAAGCAGAGATAAGCATTCCAGCTGCAGACTCAAGAACACTGTCTCAAGGAAAAGCACTTGTGTGACAGACTTGCAAGCTCAATTCACCAGTTTTTTCAAGGGAAAATTTTTTTCCTTTTACTCGTTTCATATATTTTGTCCAGGTTTTTTGTTGTTTAGCGGACAAAGTTAAGTCTGGTCTCTGCTACTCCATCTCAGCCAGAAGCAGAAGTCTACAGTTACTTTTATTGTCCCAAATTTGCCTTTCTTAAGCCCGTACGGTGAAGGTAACATTTGTCCCTTCCTGGCTCTGTAGATTTGAGGAAATCCTTTTCCACAGAGGAGAGTCCTGGCCACATTTAGCCCGTCTACTAGCAGACTCTCTACACCCTTGATTATTTTGGTGATGCTGGCCTGCAGGTGTGTTCACCACAATAGGACCTAGCCCTCACAACGTGAAGGTAGCCTCCTTTACCAAGGTTACACAGGACAGTATGACAAGATGGGTAAAATGAACGCTGAAGTCAGAAGACTCATATTCAAGTCCTGGAACTTGGGTAACTTTGGCAAACTCACTCAAATTGTGAGCCCTATCAATAGGCTCTCACATTGGTGATGAGGAGGAAATGAGATAATGAATCCAAAAACACTTTGTAATCTGTACGGTACTATACAAAGATAAAAGGATAATGAAGTGTAGTTCCAACATTCCCAACAGTCCTTAAGCTTTTTTTTTTTTTAGATGGAGTCTTGCTCTGTTGCCCAGGCTGAAGTACAGTGGCGTGATCTCATCTCACTGCAACCTCTGCCCCCAGGTTCAAGCAATTCTCCTGCCTCAGCCTCCTGAGTAGCTGGGACTACAGGCGCATGCTACCACGCCCGACTAATTTTTGTATTTTTAGTGGAGACGGGGTTTTCCCATGTTGGCCAGGCTGGTCTCGAACTCCTGACCTCAGGTGATCCACCTGCCTCAGCCTCCCAAAGTGCTGGGATTATAGGCATAAGCCACCGCGCCCAGCCCAGTCCTCAAGTTTTCTAACATTCCATCTTCCAAACCTCTAAGCCACCATGACACATTTTAAAAATGTAAATAAGTACTAATAAAAAGAAATGCATCATCTTCTAAGTACAATTTTAATTATTTCCCTCAACCATATACTCTGAATAAGAAATCATTTATAAATGTGGCCCAACATAATTTCAAAAACTCATCCTCAATCTAATTCACAAATCCCTTAACCTATGTGTAAGTACCCAAGACCACTCACATCCTTGGAATGTTGGCATTGCACGAGTGACAAAAATTAACCAAATTCTTTGGGACTTAGACTACATAGCAGGCTGAAATAGTAATTTTTAAAACATAAGCAAACTCATAAATGGTATTTGTTACTTACCTCTGTAACATTGTGGCAAGAAGTGCAATAATATTTGCCTTCATCAGTAAGGCCCCATGAGACAGCAGCACACTGACTGCAGCGTTCTTTAAACTCTTCCTATGGGAGAAGAGGACAGAAAAGGTGTTCCCATCAAGCCACATTCAATACATCGTACCTAAACCCTGCAGTTCTACTTAGTGTGTTCCTTGCAACTTTATAAACAAAAAATCATACACAATAGAAAATATATCAGAGAGATTATCGGCAAACAAGGAGAGGAGCGGTATGAAATCGAATTAAACTGCTGGAGAAAATTTATTGAAATATGCAATGTGAGAGGAAAAATAAAGAAAAGGAGGTAGTAGGGGTAAACTGGAACCAAAGATGAGTAAACAAAGCTCCTTGAAAATTCTGTGAGAAAGAAGATGATAAATAAGTATAGAGAAGACTTTAAAAATGCAAATACCATTTGGAACTCCTCCAGGACACTAAAAGCGCATACCACAGAGGAACTAGATTTGTACTGGTTTCCAGTTTCGATTTATCCACTGGGGAGCATAAAGAGTATCAACTCTGGGTGTACTAGGCTTTTTACTAAGTGCTGGGGATTCAATGGTGAGCAGAACAGACCAGACATGGTCCCTAGTCTGGGGATACACTAGCTAATGGTGAGTTACAATGATTAATTTCATCAGCCTAGCATCTACAGAAGTTAGCCAACCATCATTCAATAAACATTTTTTAAGCCCGTATTATAAGGCCGTACTGCTTCCGTATATACAGGCCTAATTCTCTGATTCCCAACTCTTTGGAGTTTGACTTGTTGTTAGCGTTCATCTAATTATCAAGTACCATTTAATACCATCAAAGTGTGTGCCATTTGCCATTTGGCCGGGTGCGGGGGCTCACCCCTGTAATCCCAGCACTTTGCAAAGGCTGAGGCAGGAAGATTGCCTGAGCCCAGGAGTTCAATACCAGTCTGGACAACATAGCGAGACCCCTGCCCCTACCAAAAAAAAAAAAAAAAAAAAAAAAAAATTAGCCGGGAGTGGTGGCGCACGTCTGCAGTACTAGCTAATTGGAAGGCTGAGGCGGGAGGATCTCTCGAGCCCAGGAGGTCGAGGCTGCAGTGAACCGTGATCGTGATGTGCCACTGCACTCCAGCCTGGGGGACAAAGTGAGACCTTGTCTCAAAAAGAAAAAAACAAAAATGTGCCATTTTACGTAGCACCTAAAACAAAAAAAAAGTGCATGCCAAATTAATTTTGGCAACTTGGTCAAGTGTTCAATGACCCCGTACTAACACTACGATAAATGACAGCTGGAAAATTTGGGGAGTTCCCAAACCCGAATTCAGAATCCCTGCAGGAGACAGCGGCGAGGATTCCCGGAGAGACCGACAGGGGTTACCCGGGGGCATCTCAGGTTCCAAACCCTGCTCCTCCTTCACCCACCCCAGCATTAAAGGGAACTTGTGGGTGGTCCAGTCTAGAGGATGAGCCCTGTGGGTGGCCACCCCACAAAACCCACAACTTCATCCTTAAACACAAACATCCATAACGACAAACCCCACACCCTCCCTCGCCCACAACCTCCCCGAGCCAGAAACTCCAGCCTCTTTACCAACGCCGCCCGCGCATGCGGCCGGCCAGCGCCCAGTCGTCACCCCGCCCCGCAGCCCTCCGCCCCGCCTTCCTCCAACCGGTGGCCGCCCCAACCCGAGGCGTTCTCCGCCGCTCCTCCTCAGCTTCTCTCCCCTCCGGCCCCGGCAGTAGGGGCCCGCCAGGCGCACCGCCTCCTTACCGCCTCCTCCAGGTCCATCGGGGCGCCGCGGAAGCTTCACAGCCGGGACCCGTTACCCGGGTAGCGAGCGCAGCTTCCGGGAGAGGCGGGAGAAGCCCTACGGCCGGAAACGCGAGATCCGAGCCGAGGATTCCGTGCGCCTGCGCGGCAGGGAACCAGCGCGCCCGGGGGCGAGGCTCCGCGAAGCCCGCAGCCCCCTCGCGGACTATCTTCGTTTCCTACTCTTGAGAACCAAAACCAACCAATAAGAAAGTGGGCGACGCCTACTGCTGAGTGATTCGATCAAGCTGCGTTCCGAAGGTCATTCATTCCAAGGCCGGCTTGCTCGTCTGGCTGCTAGGGGCCGCGCAAGGCCGAGCTCGCGAGCGCGGTTTCTGTCCTCCGTGGGCTCCGCCCTCCGTGGGTTCTGCCCTCCGGGTCTCATCCCTCGCTGGCTTTTTTAAGGGGAAGCCTCGGGACTTGGAGGAAAGCTCACGGGCCGTGAGTTAGACCTAGGTTTCCAATCACGGCTCTCCTGCTTACTTGTGCCTCAGTTTCCTCCTCTGTAAGAATTAGATGTTATCTGTGAGCCCCTTATAATTGAGTCTCCGCCAGGCGTGGTGGTTCACGCCTGTAATCCTGGGGAGGCTGAGCTGGGAGGATTGCTTGAGGCCAGGAGTTGGGCAACAAAGCGAGACCCCTTCTCTAAATAAGTAAATAACTGAATAAATAAATGCATGAGTGAATATAATTGAGTCTCAGTAACTGCTCAATAAATTTAGCTCTTATTGTTTCTTCATTTAACACATTCATTCCTTGTTTTATTTATTAAACAGGAACTGGTTTCGGTCCGGGGGATTCAGCAGTAAACAAAAGTCCTTGCCTTCGTGGAGATTCCATTCTGATGGGGAGAGACAAAAATAAATGAGGAAAATATGTGGTATGTTAAATGGTGGTGAGTGCCAAGGAGAAAAAGAGGAGAGTGGTTTCAGTCTGAAATGGGATGTTCAAGAAAGATCTTTTGATATAATCATATATCTCAAGAAGTTAGAAAAAAGGTTAAACTGAAAAATAATGGGATGAAGGAAATGTTTAAAAAAGAGAAAGCAAGCTTCGATAGAGAGGCTCCACAGAGGCTGTGGTGGCTGGTGCCTGTAATCCCATCACTTTGGGAGGTGAAGGCCAGAGGATTGCTGGAGGGCAGGAGTTGGAGACCAGCCTGCCCAACATATTGAGTCCTCATCTCTATAGGCTGGAGTTCAATGGCACCAACTCAGCTCACTGCAACCTCCACCTCCCAGGTTCAAGCAATTCTCTTTTCTGCCTCAGCATCCCAAGTACCTGGGATTACAGGCACGTGCCACCACGCCCAGCTAATTTTTGTATTTTTAGTAGAGACGGGGTTTCACCATGTTGTCCAGGCTGATATCGAACTCCTCACCTCAAGTGATCTGCCCGCCTCGGCCTTCCAAAGTGCTAGGATTACAGGCGTGAGCCACCGCGCCCAGCTTAAAAGATATTTTTTAAGAAAAGAGTCTCGACAAACTAACATTAACTCTTTGAAAAGACTAATACATTCGATAAACTCTGGAAAGATTGATCGAAAAGAAAAGAAGAGCCCAGCTTGGTGGTGCACACCTGCAGTCCTAGCTACTTGGGAGGATGAGACAGGAGGTTTGCTTGAGCCCAGGAGCTCAAGGCTGCCGTGAGCTATAATCAGGCCACTGTGCTTCAGTCTGAGCAATGGAGCAAAGAAAATCAAAGTAACTGATAACGGTGGCATCACTAACCAATATGTAGGGGCATCACTACAAATACCACAGACATTAAAAAGATCATAAGGGGATATTCTGAACAACTCTAGGCCAATAAATGTGAAAATTCAACCAACTTTTTTTTTTTTTTTAAAGACAGAGTCTCGCTCATTTGCCCAGGCTGGAGTGCAGTGGTGCAGTCTCAGCTCACTGCAACCTCTGCTTCCCGGATTCAAGCAATTCTCCTGCCTCAGCCTCCTGAATAGCTGGGACTACAGGCACCTGCCACCATGCCTGGCTAATTTTTGTATTTTTAGTAGAGATGGAGTTTCACCATACTGGCCAGGCTGATCTCGAACTCCTGACCTTGTGATCTGCCCACCTCGGCCTCCCAAAGTACTGGCAGGCATGAGCCACCACGCCTGGCCAAATTCTACCAAATTTTTAAGAAAGAAATAGGCCAGTCATGGTGGCTCGTGCCTGTAATCTAGAACTTTAGGAGGCTGGGGCAGGAGAACATTTGAGGCCAGGAGTTCGAGACCAACCTGACCAACATGACAAAACCTCATCTGTATTAAAAGTACAAAAATTATCCGGGCGTGGTGTTGCATGCCTGTAATCCCAGCTACTTGGGAGGCTGAGGCACAAGAATTGCTTGAACCTGGGAGGCGGAGGTTGCAGTGGGCCAAGATCGTGCCATTGCACTCCAGCCTGGTTGACAGAGTGAGACTCTGTCTCAATAATAATAATAATAATTGTAAAAAGAAAGAAAGAACACCCATCTTATACAGATGCTTCCAAATAATGAAAAAAGAGGAGCATTTACCAACACATTTTAGGAGACAAGCATGACGTTGACACCAAAACTTGACAAGGATATTTCAAGAAAAGTCAAAATTAAAGATCAATTCCTCTTATAAACATACATGCAAAAGTTCCAAACAAAACATCAGTAAATTGAATGTACATCCTGTTGTATTCAGCAATATATAAATAGGATAATAAATCATAGCCAAGTTAGGTTTATTCTAGGAATGCAAGGTTAGTTTAACATCAAGCCTGTAATCTCAGCATTTTGGGAGGCCATGGTGGACAGAACACTTAAGCCCAGGAGTTTGAGATCAGCCTGGGCAATATAATGAGACCTCATTTCTGCAAAAAATTAAAAAAATTAGCTGGGTGTGGTGGCACAGTCCCATACTCTCAGGTACTAGGGAGACTGAGGTGGGAGGATCGGTTAAGGCTGCAGTGAGCTGTGGTCATGCCACTGCATTCTAGCCTAGGTGACAAAGCAAGACCTTTTCTCAAAATTAAAAAATGTTAAAAGAAAAAGTAGAGAAAAAAGAATAAAGATTTAAAAAATAAATAAAAGAGAAAAAATAAATCATACAGTAATCGAGGCTGGAGTGCAGTGGCAAGATCTTGGCTCACTGCAACCTCCGCTCCTGGATTCATGCCATTCTCCTGCCTCAGCTTCCCAAGTAGCTGGGACTACAGGCGCCCGCCACCATGCCTGGCTAACTTTTTTTGTATTTTTAGTAGAGATGGGGTTTCACCGTGTTAGCCAGGATGGTCTCAATCTCCTGACCTCATGATCTGCCCGCCTCGGCCTCCCAAAGTGCTGAGATTACAGGTGTGAGCCACCGCGCCTGGCCATATACGCTCTTAGTTATTTTTAAAAGCACAAGTAAATTATTATTGACTATAGTCGCCCTGTTGTGCTAGCAAATACTAGGTCTTATTCATTCTTTCTATTACTTTTGTATTCATTAACCATCCCCACCTCCCTCTTCACCATTCCCTGCCCCTGACCAACTACCTGGCCCAGCCTCTTGATAACCAATCTTCTACTCTCTATCTCCATAAAGTGAATTGTTTTGATTTTTAGATCCCACAAATAAGTGAGAACATGTGACGTTTGTCTTTCTGTGCCTGGCTTACTTCACTTAACATAATGACTTCCAGTTCCATTCATGTTATTACAAATGACAGGATTTCACTCTTTTGCATGGCTGAATAGTACTCCATTGTGAATATGTACCACACTTTCTTTATCCATTCATCTTGTGACAGACACTTAGGTGGCTTCTGAACCTTGGCTATTGTAAACAGTGCTGCAATAAACATGGGAGTGCAGGTATCTCTTCAATATATTGATTTCCTTTCCTTTGAGTATATATCCAGCAGTGGGATTGCTGGATCATATGGTAACTCTATTTTTAGTTTTTTGAGGAACCTCCAAACTGTTCTCCCTAATGCTTGTACTAATTTGCATCCCCACCAACAGTGTTTGAGGGTTCTGATTTCTCTACATCCTCACCAGTGTTTGTTATTGCCTGTCTTTTGGATATAAACTATTTTAACTGGGATGAGATTGTAGGGTTTTGTTGTTGTTGTTGTTGTTGTTTGTTTGTTTTGAAACAGAGTCTTGCTCTTGCCCAGGCTGGAGCGCAGTGACACAATCTCAGCTCACTACAACCTCCGCCCCCCAGGTTCAAGCGATTCTCATGCCTCAGCCTCCCGAGTAGCTGGGACTATAGGCACGTGCCACCACACCCAGCTAATTTTTGTATTTTTTTAGTAGAGATGGGGTTTCACCATGTTGGCCAAGATGGTCTCTATCTCTTGACCTCGTGATTCACCTGCCTCGGCCTACCAAAGTGCTGAGATTACAGGTGTGAGCCACCATGCCCAGCCGAGATTGTAGTTTTGATTTTCATTTCTCTGATGATCGATGATGTTGAGCACCTTTTCATATACCTGTTTGCCATTTGTATGTCTTCTTTTGAGAAATGTCTATTAAAATATTTTGCTGATTTCTTTATTGGATTATTAGAATTTTTTTCCTGTAGACTTGTTTGAGCTCCTTATATATTCTGGCTAATAATCACTTGTCAGATGGATAGCTAGCAAATATTTTCTCCCATTCTGCGGGTTGTCTCTTCACTTTGTTGATTGTTTCCTCTGCTGTGCAGAAGCTTTTTAATTTGATGTGATCTAATTTGTCCATTTTTGCTTTGGTTGCCTGTGCTTGTGGGGTATTAATCAAGAAATTTTTGCCCAGACCAATGTCCTGGAGAATTTCCCCAATGTTTTCTTTTAGTAGTTTCATATTTTGAGGTCTTAGATTTAAGTCTTTAATCCATTTCAATTTGATTTTTGTATGTGGTGAGATATAGGGGTCTAGTTTTGTATTTTGCTTATGGATATTTAGTTTTCCCAGCACCATTTATTGAAGAGACTCTTTTCCTCAGTGTATGTTCTTGGCCCCTTTGTCAAAAATTAGTTTACTGTAAGTGTGTGGATTTGTTTCTGTGTTCTCTATTATGTTCTGTTGGGCTATGTGTCTGTTTTTATGCTAATAGCATACTATTTTGATTACTATAGCTCTGAGTATAATTTGAAGTCAGTTAATGTGATACCTCCAGCTTTGTTCTTTTTGCTTAGGATAACTTTGGCATTCGGGGTCTTTT